TTCACAGCTAGGGTGTATTAGTTTTTTTTTCTGTAATTCTGCATGTTTTCTGCTTATTTAGCAGTATGTTTCTGTGTCATGTTTTTGCTGCTTGAATATTTTGTTCGATGTCTCTAGTCCTCCTTGCTTTTCTGTTACCTGTTTATTCTATTTTTGTGTTTTCATGGCCAATTTTCCCTCAGCTCACTTGATCACTCTCTCAGGCTACGTTCACACTGCAGGCAAATCCGACCCAAATCCGATTTTTTTGACCCATCTGACTTATATCCAATTTTTTATGACGGTCTGAACGAGACAAATCCGATTTTTTCAAATCCGACCCAGGCCTTTTCAGTCTTTGGTTTTAAATTGGATATATATCTGATGTTTTCAAAGTGACTGCAKTGTGAACGCTCATGTCACATCCATCTGACTTTTTCATCAGTGAGGAGGGGGTGAAGGATCGATAAGACTAACCTCAAGTCACTCTGTTTAAATCTGTAGCTCCATGTGTTTACCGCTCCAAGAAACAAGTCCAGTTGCTTTGTCTTTTTACTTTTCATTTTCCACGTAGATAGTATGATGATAATGATGTCCAGCCTGGGTCACGGAGAGTATCAATCCTAAAGTCAGCTACTCGGTCGATACTTTTTTCCAGCTCGTAGTTTCGTTAAAAAAAAAGCTTCACTGGAGCATCCCAGTCAGAGGCAGCTTCAGATATAAACACTGAACTAAACAAGCATGTCAGATAATTATTTAATTGGCTCTGATTAAACAACAACTTCCGATTCGAAGCGCAAAATGTAGCATCCATGTAGCTCTGTAAACAAACAAGCCGGCTGATGAGACGTCACGTCTCTTACTGCGCATGCGTGTCACATCAGTGCTGTGTAGCGTTCACACAGGAGTCCGATGCAGGTCACATTTAAAATGTATTGTGAACGTTCACACAAAAAGATCTGATTTTTTCAAAAAATCGGAACTGAGCATTAAGACCTGCAGTGTGAATGTAGCCTCAGTCACCTGTTGTTATACACATCCCCAGCTGCTCTCATTCAGCAATCAACCTCCCCAGTATTTGATCCCCTGGTTTTCTCTTGTTCATTGCTACTGCATGTGAAATTGCCATTTCCTGTAAAGTCCAGTCTCTTAAAACTTTAACGTTCTCAACCTGCCCTGCCACGTTGGACTACAACAATGACAAATAATACTAAATAATAATGCTTTTTTGTATTATTTATTTTCATAATGGACATTTTTACAGTTTCACCTCATTTACCAGTACTGGGAAATCACCAGCCCTCTGTCCAACAAGTACAGTAGCTCTCCTCCTCTGCTGCTGCCAACGCTCACATTTTTCAATAAGTTGGATCTTCCATTTCGAGTGATTAAAATGCTGGTGATCTCATGGGAGCTTCCTGCTGCACATTTTCTTTTTCTGATCCCAGTTGTTTCTGAGATGATATTCCTATGATTTCAGCTCAGGAGTTTTGTTTCAGATGCTTTATGTAGAGCAGTGAAATGGCATGGAAGGCAGCCTGAATTAAACCCCACCATTTGAGTTTTGGAAATGTTTCAATTGGTGGGCAAATGTGGGGACGTGTATAAAGTGAGCCTTCTGGCAGAAACTTTAATGCCTGTCCTTGCATTGCTCATCTGAAGGATATTCTCGGCACCTTCTTAAAACTTTTCTGATGCCAACTAAAGGGAGATATATTTTTTATGTGCACGCACAAGCAACATTACAAGAAAATGTTGCTGTACCTTAACTTAATTGTTCACGATTCTGCTTCTAAGGCTACTGGATTCTCACCCTCTGCCTTTTGTTGATGAGAGCTTAGGCTGGGTTTAAGGTTGCTGATTTCTCTTCCTGTCTTTCTTTTCTGCACTTATCTGAACAAGACAACAGGGTGAAGAAAACCAACCAGCTTTCCCTGTCCTCAGGCCCTTCTCATAAAGGAAGTCTCTGTTCTTCCAATATCTATCACTACGAGTCATGGAGGTTTTTTTTATTATTATTGCTGAGGACTGCAGCCTCCTGTCTGCTTTGAGCTTTTTTCCTGCCAGCTCCATGACTATCTCAAGAGCTCTACTTCGAAGCATTTGCAAGACTCCTTAGTTATGCGGTATCTTCTATAATGAGATACTGAGCTAGGCATTAGATAACATGTTCGATAACTAGAGTTAACCTGAACTGGAGTGCTTGTATGAGAATGTGGGAGTAATGAGCTTGAGAATGCCTTGGTGTGATGCCAGAGGCAGTGAGAAACAGGTGCCTCAATGCTCTCAAGATTAAATTAGATTTAAATAAAGGTTTTACTCTCAGGAGAGATGATAGCAATGGTTGTGTGTTGATTGGTCAATACAGAGGACACATACTAAAGAGGGTTAACTCCCTTAGATTTCAGAGAATCAGGTTACTCTGGTAACCAAATGTTCCTCTGTATCCAGTTCTCTATTTAGGTAATTTATGCGCGGCAAGGCGAAGGTCTGTGTCAGAGAGCTTTTTAGATAAACATAAGGTGGTGTTTATTATGCCCACAGAGACAGCCAACCTTCCTGCATAAATAAATCATCACTCATGTGGCCTAAGCTGCTAAAAAGAAAGAAAAAGAAATGCACGGTGTTCCAATAATAACACCACACTTTGATGAAAACATTGCTGTCGAATTTCAGTGCTGTTTCATAAAGCTGCGATGATTCCTTGATTGATTCCTTTGAGTGCAAAGCTTAACCTAATTCAAAAGCCCCTTTCCTGTTCTAGATGACATCTCTTTCCCATATTGAAATAATGAGCCCAGATTCTTGCCTGCCTTCCTCACGCACCTAAAGTACTCGGTCATGTGTTAACACATCCTTCCTCCTCACCCCGTTTCCTCTCTTAAAGAATAAACCAGACGCCCCGCGTTTCCAATTGCCTACTGGAACTAGTCCTCCTCTCTTTATGTTTGAGACCCATGTCAGATATTATTCAGTTCTATTAGTGCTTCGCCACACAGTCGTATTCCAATATGCCCGTGAAAGGGGGAAAGCAATAGTAGACGACAAGCCATCATATCTCGGGGCATTCGGTGACTCATTGCTTGTATGACTTTGATTAGAGCTGCCCTCCACAGAGACGTCTTACTCTGCAGAACTGTTTGAAGGTTTTCTGCTCTAACCACTCCAACCTTTCATCTGTCTCTGTTTTCTGCCATATTTGTATGTCCAGTGTTTGCTAATGCCAACTGTTATTGGCTTTTTGTTATGTGCTTAAAGTGAAACATATTGTAATCCTGCTCTGTGATTATTCCAATGTTAGACAACAGGGACTCTGAAGTAGCCTGTCTAACCACCAGGCTTTGTATTTTGCCTACTAATTGGAGCTGCAACCAATAGCTAAAAGACTGAATAGAGGACTGAATGAAAAGTATAAGCATTTGTTTGTCTGTGAATTCATTTGTTTCTTGGTTAGCAAACAATGTCATGAACCACTGGACAGTTTTTTTTTTTTTTATCTGCAGGAAGTAATCATTAGATGTACAACAAAAATATCTGCCTCAGTCAACTGACCTTCAAAAACACAGAAATGTTTTGTTTAAAAAAATGCCATTTATTTTGTTGGAGTCAAATTAGCTTGTTAGGCAAAAGAGCTGATGAACCACTGAACAAATTTTAATGAAACATTTTGGAAATAATTATTGGATGAACTTCACCCTAGAAACAAGCAAACAAACAAACAAAAAAAATGCCCAGCTGTCAACTGACCATTTGAAACACACACATAACTACAAGTAAGTACATTTTACAGATAAAATTAGGTGTGGATGTTGTTGAGACTCATCATCACAAACATACTCTCAAGTGCTAATATTGCATGGAATCTATGCCTAAAACCTTAGTAATAATTGTAAAGTAAACTGCTTGTTTGCAAAATATTTCATAAAACACTAGACAGATTTTAAATGCAACTTAAAACCATTTGAAGTGTAACTACTGCAGGTTAACTTATAGAATCAATTTAATTGAAGTTAGCTGCCACAGCTAATTGACCTTAGCCAAGATAAAAATAAATGAATGAATAAATAATAATAANAACAGACATTCACCCATTCACACTCACATTCACACATTGTGTGTATTTCTGGCAAACTACAGTTCTGTTGTTTCTGTGATTGAGGCATGATTTATTCTGTGTATTTTTCAATTTTGCCAATAAGCAAACTTTGCACCTTTACGCTGAACACTAAGGCTGACATATTTTTACTTGAATGATCTCAGTCCAGTCAGTTACATCTCTGAAGAAGGTTGAAATACTTCGGGCTATTGTACAACAGACATTTAATAAGTACTTAAAACTTTAATGTACCCTACAGACAATACTTCAACTTCTCTGCTTGTTTAGATCATCGACACATTCTTGTTCACAGTTGAATGTTTTCTTGTCCATTTCTTCGGTTTATTGTATGAACTTGTTTTGATAGTCTAATTATTTATTTATTCTTTGGGTGCCCTGAGTCATCTATTGATATTCCAATGATTCCTGAAGACATTTTCCAAGAGAATAATAACATATTTTGTGTTGTAGTGTGTGGTATTATATTGTATTTAATTGTATTGTATGCTACTTTGACCAATTGTCCTGTGAATAGCACAACAGGTGTTCCCAGTGGGATCAGAAACATTAAGAGGAAACCCTCAGAGATGTACAAAACAAGCCCCGGCTGGTAAGAGCTGCTTTATGGTAACAATGAAGACATTGAGTAGATGACATCATTGTTATGGATGTTTCAAGTTCAAGAGGCACACACAGTACCATGCACGTGCATTAGATCATAACCTGTAACAATACCTGTAACAATACCACAGCTAGGTTCTGCTATCCTCCCCCCATCCCTGTCAAACCTCAGCGCTTTATTGGTAAGCCTAGACAAGCTGATTACTCATCTAGTTTGGTTCCTGCATTCATTATTGTGAGAATTCCAGCTCTTTCCTCATCATTCAGTCTGCCAAACTCCCACACAGTAACACTTGAGCTATACCTTTGCCGGGGGCTTCCGCTGGGCTTTCTGCAAGCTGAGTATATGAAGAAACAGAGGGCTCTGGAGGACAGTTTTTAGCAAAGATAGTTTCTCCTGACTGGGGGCCTCTCCTCTCTCCTTCAATTTGGCTTGAAGTCTCTCCACAGCTTCCAAGGCATAGTGAGCATCTGCAGAGAAATGGTATAATCCTGATGTAAAGAAACAGCACCCTTTCTTAATTCTATGGTTCTACATATGTGTGACACAAAGCAGAAAATATATATATTTTTTATCCAGTCTTTCAATTACATAGGTAAATGTAACATAAGGCACATTATACAATTGATTACTTTAAATTTATATGAACCTGAATCAGCTCATAAATTTGGCTACGGCAACCCATCAGCATTCATGACCTTAAACAGCATATTCTTCTTTGAGTGTTGTACCATTATGCCCATCAATCGCCCGCTCTGTTCTGTAATGATTTGTGAAAAAGACCCTCCAATACTTGTACCTCTTCTTTTGGGGCAGTGGCACAATCCAAGTACAGAGTTGGCTATCAACCTTTGTTTTTTATCACATGGGATCACTCCATTCTGGATGTTGGTTTCAACTTCCACATACTTAAACTGACTACAGGGACAAGGAACATCACTTCACTGGTGAGAAAAAAAAAACCCAAGCTTTTGCATGAGATTGAATGGTATCACCTGAGCTCAACTTGACCCACAGCATGTACTCTGGGACAAATCTCCTGGAGAAAAGATTAGGAATGTGTTGCATGATACAATTTCAGCTAAGCTTATAATGTCAGACAAATAGCTTCACATTTGGCTTAAGAAAATTTGGGTTTCCTGAGGAGTCCAGGACCAACCTAACAACCTTTAATACATTATTTTTGTTCTCAATTGCCAATCAGTATCATGTATGAGGTACAAATAAGGAATGATGATCCAGAGATGACCAACTGATGTTACTCATCTAAGTAAAAAAAATTGAAACTTTTACAAAACACTTTAAATTGGAACTTGGACACCTTCTGACATCACCACCTTCCTTTTTCAGTTTGTTGCTCTATTTTTAGGTTGCTATTGCAGTTTCTGGGTGACTCCAATACAAAGCCAAACATATCAATGAGGAAATAAAGGAGTATACTGCATATACAGTTTATTGCACAGGTTGTGTAAAGTCACTTGAGATTGAAAAAAAGTAAAAACGAACCAAAGCTGCTTCACTGTGGGTTTTATTAAGACTTCATGTGTATTACGTTTCATTACCAATGTTTGGTTTAGTTTGTGAACAAAACTAATAAATAAATAAATAAATAAATAAATAAATAAACTAAGTATAAATATTATGTTGTCTGATAAGACAATGGAACAAAATCCACTCGCTGCATCAGGTCATGTTGTCTTTGCTCATTTAGCAGAGTAGCAGCTAATGAGAACTAGCCCCAATAGCAGTAATTGTATGTGGCAGAAGGATAAAACCCTGTAAACTCCTCACGACCAAGTTTTGACAGGAGCGTGAGCCCAGCGCCACCTGCACATGTAACTACTCCCTCCTGTATGGCAGTATGTAGACAAGTCCTGATGGTAAGCCTCTGATAACGGAGGAGCTGGGGATTCCAACTGAGGTTAATGCAACATTTTTGGATTTAAACTGACCTCAGCATTGGGAGGAGGCTGAAAGGACTTACCCATGATCTCCATTGGTCCCTGACAGAGTTCTGGAGTGCAAGTGTTCTTTTGTGATGTCTCAGTTTATTGTCATACTTGGCTGTTTGCTTCCTGCAACACACACAAAAACATTTACATAAAATCATACCCATTTTAACAGTTTCTATACATTTGTGCAGTAACACATTTCAACAAGTTTCTCCTTTAGGAAACCTTTTTTTTTTTTTTTGTTACAAGGAACACTTTGTTTGCCCCTTCCACTTTTCACAGAGGAATAATTAGTATACAAGTCATTATTTTACATCTGTTCAGCAGCATGTATCATTTTTTTCCTTCTACATCTCCTCCTGGGCCTGTCCCCTGTTTGTTTGCAAGCGCCTTGCTTGTCACCTAATGCTCTTTAGCGGGATTTAAATCTCCTCCAAAAGGCTTTATCAGTCACTGATGATAATTAACTGCGACACAAGGCCTTCTGACTATTGTGACTGGGGGAGGGAGTGGGAGGGGGCTCTGTATAGCTTCAAAGCATGACACAAGTGACATGATTTGATTTGCAAAACGATGGCATGTAAATGGCAATGTCTCATTTGAAATCTAATTAGGATCCATTGATGGCCATCAGGGATGTACGGATTGCCTATATGCTCTTCATGGCAGTGCTCAGTTAAATGTATATATCTATTTTTCCTAAAGATATACAAAGATTATTAACATGAAGCTTACAGACATAACCTGGAGCTTTTAATTTGCAATCTATGATACCGCTCTGTTTCTATAAGCACAACCTGTTTGTGTCAGCTCCATTACTATGACGACCAGACGGACATCAAAAGGTGCAGAGAGAGCTCTGTCTCACCTCCATACCAGACGATCAACAGGTCTCCTCAGCTCCGGACGCAGAAGCCCCGTGCCTTCCACCTCCTCCTGCAGCAGCAGGGCAAAATCACTTTTACAGAAATAACAGGTATGACCCTCCTCACTGATGAGCTGAGTCCCAACAGGTAACTTACAAGAATAAAAGGGGAAAAAATCTATTAGAATAAAAAAGGAATGAGCACTTTTATTAGCCGGCGTTGAGTCGGAGCTGCTTGAGAGCACACCGCTCAGTGCGCATGCCCCCCACTACACTCCCCCTCTCTCTGATCTTCAAGCACAAAGAGCTCATCCCTGTGAGGCTGATGAGAAAAAGCAGTGTCCGGGTCATCTGAGACAAATCACACTGCTTTTTGGATGTATTCATGGATGGTTTTTGAGACAATTTAATAAATTAGTACACAACATCTGACAAAATTTGAATCATATATATATACAATAACATGGGTTGTTTCTTATTAACCACTTTAAATGTAAATGAAATTGTTTCTGATAATTTAAGTTATTTTTTTTATTATTATTTAATAAATCCCGTTTAGATCTTTTTTTTTCAAGGAAGGGAAAACTGTAACTTAATATTTGCAAATTTTAGAGAATACAGACAATCAAAGATGACCCCCTCCCCCACCATCAAACACACAGGTTCGCCCATTTATTCATTTGGGAACATTATATTGACTTCCATTACATTTCTACAGCCTAACACTGACCACAAGCCCTAAGTCTAACCTCACAGGTACCTACCTGACCCTAAAACTAACCTAAACTCAATTCACACCTTGGTCCTAAACCCAACNATAATATACTTGCTACACCTGAACCATTTTTTTCACATATTTAGCTAAAATATGATGATATGGTAGCTGACAGTCATTAACAACACATCCTTCATTCTTTAGTTTACCTTTGTTAGCAATATAATAAATAGTAGTGTATAACATTTATTTTCAAAATCAAAACTCAGATTTAAGAAATTTCACAAAATTGTGATCCAGTTTCAATGCAAAAAAAATACAAGCTGATAAGCATGCAATTTTTACAAACTTTAATAAAGTTTTTACTCACACAGTTTGCACACATGTTCAACTGATTTAATGAAATTAAAGTTTGCAAAAGTCATATGAACTGTTTATTAATGCATGTATCAATTTTTGTAGGTAAGACAACCTATTTGAATTGTTTAGGGAAAAAAAGCTGTTGAGTCACTGACTATTCAAAATGAAATTCCATCCTCAGGGAACTTTCAAGAGGCGTTTTCCAACTTGAAACTTGGAAATGATGAAGTACAAATGAAACACATCATTAGATGAACAAATTCATTTTTATTCACATAGTAAACTGACCAAATCACAGAATTAGAAAAAAAAAAATGACTGGTGTTTTTCAATCTCATGAGCCTTTGAATTGTGGTCAAATATTGCTCATATAAAACAGTGATCTTCATGATTCAAGTTGCTTATAAAACATTAGACTGGACTTCACTTACCACACACTGTGTAAGAAGAGAGTGATAAGACCACTTGCACCAGATTTTTTTTTCTGAGATTTTATTGGCAACTTGTAAAAACACAGTATGAAGATTTGCAGACAGCTTCATAAAAGCGATAAACTAAATTATTACCATATGACATTGTCATCTAGATTTCAGTTTCATATTAATAATTATAAATAAAAGCAGGCCAGTCTCATAAAGTGAAATATAACCCTACATTTATTATGTCGTCAGATCCATGAGGGGATGCACACTCAGCACGGTCACTGCACAACACAAAGCTCTGTGGTTCACGTCAGCTGGGCAGACTGTTTTGTGTGCAGTTTGCATGCTCTCCCTGTGTTTCTGTGAGGTTTCTTTGTGCATTCTTGCATTTGTTTTATCAAACCTCTGACATGGAAGAACAACAAGCAACCCATTAAAACAAACAAACAATTCAATTCAATTCAATTCAATTCAATTCAATTCAATTCAATTCAATTCAATTCAATTCAATTCAATTCAATTCAATTTGGTATATTTATATAACACCAAGTCACAACAACCATTGTCTCAGGGCACTACACACACACAGATATTACAGGCAACAACTTAATGGCTTTTTGATGAAATCAGAATGAGCTGGAATTGTTAGAAGTGTGCACTTACAAAACATTTTGAATTTAATAAAAGAAAATGGACATCACATGCAGAAGATCAGGGTTTTCCATGTGAAAACTAGTTACTGCATGTTTTACATATTCATGTGACCAGCTTACCATATGTTAAAATCATAAATTCTTTCAATTTTTGTTCTTATTTATTCAAATTTTAATCCGTAGGCTACGGGCTACATTTTTAAGCAGAGTTTTTTTTCCAAGTTTATTTAGGTTTATTTAAAGAGAATGACCTTTCAAGCCTCAGTCTGCATTCTTATTCTATGTGCCTTCATCCACCAGTGTGAATTTATTAATAAATTTTCATTTTGAGGCCTAATCTCGATGGTCTTTTACTTGTCCAGCATTTCCACCTCACTGCAGACTATTTGTTTCTCAGAGTTGAGAGGCTTCATTCTAACTAATATACACAGAGTTCACTTTTTTCACCAAATGTATGTTCTTATTGTTTCGAAAGTGGGAGTGAAGGACTATAGTGAGTCTTTAAAAAAATATGAATGATGAAATGAACAAAATATGCATATTTTATCTTAAATCTTTGATAGTTATTTCTCTATTGAAAAAAATGTAATGAAAATTAGTGAACCGATGTCAGCCACTCTACGCAAAGAGCTGAAGTGAGTGCAAATAGGTTAACAATGTGAAATCCAGTTATGATTTGGAATTAAGAAGTCAACAATTCTGATGCGTTGGTACATAATAACAATTGTATTTTTAAAGTATGCAGACAAAACAATAGATTAAGGGAAACTTGGCTCTGGGTCAGGAAAGATTGGATCAGGTCTACAGATTCTGTTCTCTGCCCACTGTTGAATGGCATCAGAAAATATGTTTTATTCACATTATTTAGTAGCAGTATTTCAATAGTAGCCCATAGGTGTGATTTGATTTATTATTGTCAAAGTCAATTTATTTATATACACTCTAAAAATGAAATGTTGGATTTACTTAACCATGTTATGTTACCTGGCTCTAGTTAACTGAGTTGAGTAAATTCAAAGCAACATTTTCATGTTCTTTGGTTAAAAAACTGGTACATTGCTTTGAATTTACTCAACTCAGTTAAGTGGAACCAGGTAACATAACATGGTTAAGTAAATCCAACATTTCATTTTTACAGTGTAGCACATAAAAACAACAAAAGTTGACCAAAGTGCTTCACAATTCGAACAAATGAATAAAACAACAAAGCGACTCAGAAATGTCAACAATAAGATCAATTTAAAATAGAGAAAAAAAAGAACACTGAAAACATTAGCTTTAAAAGAATCTCAAACTCTACCAGAATGAAAGGCCGGGGAGTAAAAATGAGTTTAAAGCAGAGATTTAAGTCTCAACAGTGTCAGCTGAATGCTAAGAGGTAAACCATTCCAAACATTTGGAGCAGAACCTGCATAGGTCCGATCATCTGAAAACTTTAGTCCAGGTCTAGGAACATCTAAGAGATTATTGTTTTATGTATTTTAATTAGGTGCCATGGAAGGAAAAAAAAAAGTAGGCCTATGTTGTATGAGTGGGTGGGGTTGTGCCGTGCCATCCACCCAGAGACGCGCCCCTGGGCGGACCAAATATGATGACAGTCTGAGCCGCATAGCCCCCAGCCCTCCCATCCCCCCGCC